AGTCATGTCAGCTAGGGAAACATGTTAGATCTACCTTTCCTAAACGGTCTCAATCACAGTGTACTTCCAGTTTCTCTATTATCCATTCTGATATTTGGGGACCCAGTCGCATCTCATCTTTTGGTTTTCGGTATTTTGTTACATTCATTGATGAATATTCACGATGTACTTGGGTTTATCTTATGAAAGATCGCTCTGAATTGTTACCCATCTTTACATCCTTTTTGAATGAAATTAAGAATCAATTCAGTCAAGTAATCAAAATTTTAAGAAGCGACAATGCTAAAGAGTACTTCTCATCCACCTTTTCTACTGTTTTGAGTTCACATGGAATATTGCATCGAGTCCACCTGTCCTCATACACCACAACAAAATGGTATAGCAGAAAGAAAAAATAGACATTTGGTTGAAACTGCACGTACTCTTTTCTTGGGTGCTCATATTCCCGTCCATCACTGGGGGATGCCATCTTAACTGCATGTTTTCTTATTAACAGGATGCCATCTTCCTCTCTCGGTAATAAGATCCCTTTCTCCATTCTATTTCCAAATAATCCTCTCTTTCACACATCTCCTCGAATTTTTGGTTGTGTATGTTTTGTTCATGATATGTCTCCGGGTTAGACAAGCTTTCCGCTCGTGCTATCAAATGTGTCTTCTTGGGCTATTCCGCCTTCAAAAGGGTATCGGTGTTACTCTCCTGAAACCAAGAAGTACTACATGTACTGCCAATGTTACATTTTTTGAACGAGACTCCTTACTTTTCTCCTTCTGTTCAAGATGTTCATGTCATACGACAGGTTCTTCCCATTCCAGTAGTTGAGTCTAATATTTCCAATGTCTCTATCGATCTCCGTAGTGATCCAAGTCTTCCTGAACCATCCTCCCCTCAAATTGATGTTGTCAATCATAGGACCCCGATGGCTAGTCTCGTTCTCCAAGACGAGGGTGAATCCCCCACTTTAGATTCTTCTCCAACATCGCTTCCTACCATGACTCCTGGTGGAGGTGATTCAGGATGGCCCATTGCTGCGAGAAAAGGTACTCGTTCCACTCGAAACCCACATCCTATTTATAATTTTCTTAGCTATCACAGGTTGTCGCCTTCCTATTGTTCCCTTTTATCCTCAGTATCTTCTATTGCTATTCCGAGAAATGTGGAAGAAGCACTTGATCACCCTGGATGGCGACAAGCCATGATTGCGTAAATGCGAGGCTCTTGACCATAATGCTACTTGGGAGCTCGTTCCCCTTCCACCGGGCAAAAAGGCAATTGGTTGCCACTGGGTATATCGTCGTTAAAATCGGCCACGATGGTGCAGTTGATCGGCTCAAGGCTCGGTTAGTTGCAAAAGGGTACACTCGGGTTTATGGCCTTGATTATTGTGACACTTTCTCTCCGTGGCCAAGATGACCACTATTCGTCTGTTCTTCGCAATGGTCGTCATTCGTCACTGGCCACTTCATCAATTAGATATCAAAAATGTCTTCCTACATGGTGATCTTGAGGACGAAATTTACATGGAGCAACCTCCTGGGTTTGTTGCTCAGGGGGAGTCTGAACTAGTATGCAAATTGCATCGTTCTCTATATGGCCTCAAGCAATCACCACGTGCTTGGTTTGGAAAATTTAGCTCCATTGTTCAAAAATTTGGGCTAAGACGCAGTGAAGCAGATCATTCAGTCTTTTATTGTCATACATCTCTGGGTAAATGTGTTTACTTAATAGTATATGTTGATGATATAGTCATTACAGGAAATGATACTGTTGGAATATCTCAACTGAAGGAGTACTTGTGCAGACATTTTCAAACCAAGGATTTGGGAAGCCTAAAATACTTCTTGGGCATTGAAGTAGCTCAATCAAAAGATGGAGTTGTAATCTCTCAGAGAAAATATGCTCTTGATATATTACAAGAAACAGGTATGATTGACTGTAAACCTGTAGAGAGTCCTATGGACCCAAATAAGAAATTAACAACAGAAGAAGGTGAAGTATTCTCTGATCCAGAGAGATATAGGAGGTTGGTCGGAAAACTGATTTATCTCACTATTACAAGGCCTGATCTATCTTTTGCTGTTGGAGTGGTTAGTCAGTTCATGCAGACTCCATGTGCTGGTCATTGGAATGCTATCATTCGCATTCTAAGGTACCTTAAAAAGGCTCCCGGACAAGGATTGTTATATGAAGATAAAGGAAGCATTCAGGTCACTGGGTACTGTGATGCAGATTGGGCAGGTTCACCTGTTGATAGACGGTCTACCACTGGATATTGTGTCTTCCTTGGAGGAAACATTATTTCATGGAAAAGTAAGAAACAGAATGTAGTGGCTCGATCGACAGCTGAAGCCGAATATAGGGCAATGGCGTCACTAACTTGTGAACTTATATGGGTAAAACAGCTCATTCAAGAGCTTAACTTCTGTGATATCCAGACTATGAAGATGTATTGTGATAATCAAGCTGCACTCCACATTGCATCAAATCCAGTATTTCATGAGAGAACTAAACATATAGAAATTGATTGTCACTTTGTTCATGAAAAGTTGTTGACAAAAGAAATATGTATCGAGTTTGTTGGATCAAATGACCAACTCGCAGATGTGTTTACCAAGTCCTTAAGGGGACCTCGGATTGAGTTCATTTGTTCCAAGCTTGGTACATACAACTTGTATGGTCCAGCTTGAGGGGGAGTGTTGGAATAAATTAGAAAATATATGTAATCATTATACCTAAGGTAGGAGGTTGAGTGTTAGATAATCTCTGCAGGGGGTTGAGTGTTAGATAATCTCTGCACCTAGTTCTGAGGAGTAATCTAGGACTGTGCATTTAATGTAATCTCCCTATTGTATCAGTTTTTATCTATATAAATACAGAACTATGAGAGGGGTTCTTTAAGCCCTCTAAAAACACTTTTTCTCAGTTTTTGAATATCAAGTCTTACTATGACAAATGCAAAGGCTACAAATGATTTTGTTAGGGAAACACATTTATCCACAACCTATCATTCATATGAAAACATACATTCAATACATAATACACCATTCCTAGCTGAAAATAATGATTAAATCAATTATATATGTACCAAATTTTCTTAAAGGAAAATTATATAACTTTTTTCTCACTAAAACTTTAACCCACTTCAAATGCGAGAGAATACATTTTTTTTGTTTCAACACCCTTCGTAGGAAAATTGCGTAATACTGCCATTTCAATTAATTGACCAAAGTAATTGAAATATATAATTAAGTTAATAATAGGATCGTATTAAAAATTTAATAGCATACCTATCACATTAAAACACATCCAACAATGTGCAACTGTGATAACTTGTTTTTTTCAACAAAGAACTAGATGTCCGACAAAGGCTTTCAAACAAGTTCTCATACACAGCAATACCCCAGTTATATTTGTCAATGACTTCTATATCATTTAATACACAAGGAACCTACACACATAACCAATTACAGGAAGTCTTAAAGTTAAATAGACATCTAAGGGTATAAAAGATATGTATAAAAGATTATTTTATCCCATATTCTAAAATCACCTTTTGTTTTATTCCATCTAGTAAATAACTCAAAATAATGACAAACATATCTTTAACTTTTCACCCATTTCCAATAAATTAAAAGGAGTGTCTAAAATTCAATTTTTACAACTTATTGAAACAGTATTATTAACTTTATCCATCTTGTCTTACATTAATGTCTAAATTGCATTTGCATGAAATTCATATATATAAAACAAGTTTAGAAACAGATAATGATGAAAAACATTTTAGACATACACTATTTCTCAATATTGTATAACATACATTTTAGTATTTTGTACAAACAACCTATACTCATCACTACTAGAGTAATACTTAATGACCTAAAAATTAGGAATGGACAAACAAATTTATATATTAAAAAACAAATGAGTAGCAACCAATTTTGAATATTCTTAAAACTATTGGGCAATTTATGATACTAGTACATAAAAGGAGTAATTTTTTTCTCATCTTCTCTTACACGTCATACCAAATATGTCATAGGAACAAATACTTTATGTCATACGCTTTACTTACTGTTGCTGGATACTTTTTCCAAGTGTTTCCATACCCCACATGTTGTAAAGAAGTGCAATGCGTTTGTGAATGTTCAAAAACATGGTTATTTGTTCATAAAAAATGGTTAAGTGACCAGCTCCATGGAAGGACCAAGTTCAAACCAGTGAGTGGTCAATCAATGCAAGTAATGCAGTGATCCAGTCCTGCACACACTACTTTGGCACATGGGGTCTACCATGACCAATTTGAATAGAGTAGGTTGAGTGTTGAATGTGTCCCAAGAAAGTTGGTTAACACATCTCAAAACTGTGGTTATTTGTTCATAAAATTGGTTAAGTGACTAGCTCCGTGGAAGGACCAAGTTCAGACCAATGAGTGGTCAATCAATGCAAGTAATGCAGTGATCCAGCCCTGCACACGCTACTTGGGCACAAGGGGATCTGCCATGACCAATTTGAATAAAGTAGGTTGAGTGTTGAATGTGTTCCAAGAAAATTGGTTAACACACTTCAAAAACGTGATTATTTGTTCATAAAATTGGTTAAGTGACTAGCTCCGTGGAAACATCAAATTGAGACCAATGAGTGGTCAATCAATGGAAGTAATGCAGTGATCCAGCCCTGCATATGCTACTTTGCCATTCAAAGTCCAAAAAGTTTTTCATTTTCAATAAAAAAAAAAGGATTTAGTTTCTGACATCTTAAACTTAGATGATAAGACATGCCACCTAGGAGTGAGAAAGACTGCCACAAAGGCACTTTACATGGAAGCTGGTCATGGATCAGCAAAATTACTAACAGAAGGGCTAACTTGGCCAAGGGAGAAAAACTTTAGGCACTAATGTCTGTGAAATTTTATTTCAGAGACCTATAAGTCATAGCCTATATCATTTAGGGACCTGTTTGGTACTTCACACCTAAACAGTTACTATCTTTCATGAGACCATTTAAGCATATTTCCTTTTGGAAGAGATAGCGGTTTTCACAGGCTCATTGACTTTTGCGGGATTTCTAAATAATGCTTTAAATCTATCATGACTCAGCTCCCTCAACATGCAATGGAAACTTTTCTAAAATGGTTATTCACTTTGCATCATCATATGGAAGCTAAATGCCTTGTCTTATCCAAAAGCAGGAAATATCTAAAGAGATATCCTTCAAAAAGCAGCTACCTCCACTTCATATGAACCTAACCTAAATACCAAAGTGCAGTAAATATTGCACAATGACACATAATTTAACACATAAGAAGTCCATTAAAAAAGCACAGTCTAGGACTCATTCCAAGTAGCAGGCATTGACATGGTCGCATTATCAATGAAACTGCAAAATATTGACATTGGAACAAACCGACATGAAAAGTACAATATTCCAAGACAAGCTCAATGCGTACTATTGGTCTGCCCATCATAGACTTGAGATCTTCGTCAGTCCTATGATTGAGAGCTGTCATATAAACCTGAAATGCAGTTTTTACAGAGAAATATTAGTCCTAGATGATAAATTTAAAACCCAGTTAAGAAGAGTTGAAGTTTCTCTTATGGCAGAAAAGGTCAAAAAGATGTATAACATACTTCTTCAGCCTGGAAAGTTGAGGTACTTTTCAAGACCCAAGGACCCAAAAAATTCATCAATTGAAGTATCAGCCTGTATAACAAGAACCAAATTTATATCTATTAATTTCCCTTTATTTAGAGAAAAGAAAAAGGTAATAATTGCATAAAGAATCTGGAGAAAACTGATTTAGTTTTGCCATGTATGAACATAAAAATTAGGAAAATTACATTCTCTATAGCAGGAAAAAAAATTACAAAATAAAAAAAAAAGGTTCAACTAAATATAAATGGTTGAACATTAAATGGCCACTGACAGGTAAATTAACAGTTTCACATCTGAAGCTTCTATTATTCATATCCACCATTACAGTACAAGAACAAGATCTCTTGTATATATCTTAACCAACAAGAAAGTGTGGATTGAATACTAAATCAATGCTATCTTTCACCTTTTTCCACTCAGAAAAAATCAAACACTGACACTACTATAACAAATGTTGTCTTCAGCAATATTACATCTCACCGGCAGTACAACATTTTTCCCAGCGCATATTAGTCCTCATTATGTGCAAAACTATCTCTGACAAAGGTCTCGTAGAAATCAATTCATTGGTGTCTCCGGATTTTGAAATTGGGGAATGTTAGGAGGAATTTTAGGAGTGGGATCAATTGGGCTATCATACTCAACCACATGTGGTAGAAATTAATTTTCGGTAAATAAAATGGTTAAAATAATTGGTTCACATACAAAAATAAAAGAATATAATGTATGTACTTTGTTGGTAATCCTAACAATTTTTTAAAGAATATTTATACTCTACATCCATCCAGTCTTGTAGCACACACTAGTGTGTCATCTGTGCAATATACCTACCCAAAGAACTGAATAGGAAGAGATTCAAACAGATTCCAGATCAGTTCTTTTTTACCATAGATGTCCTAGAATATCAAAATACTCATCACCTGTGTAACAGGAAATGTAATAGTATATATAAATGTATACAAGAATAGGTGATGATAAAACATTACATGCACTGAGAATGCAGGCAAAACAAAAGTTCTAATTAACAATAAAAATCAGTTCATAACAAGAATAATAATACCTTCCGAGACTTTTTAGGAGCTGCGTCAGCTGGCCTTTTGATCTGCAATGCAGGGGCCTCAACTCAACACCAACATTTCTACTGCTTGGTTTTAACAACTTTTGATTCTGGCGGATCAGCATTTGTAGGCTGTACTGTCATTGTTCCTGATAGCCTTTCACGGAGATCCCGCATGTTTGGACCATTACTCTTTCCACTCTGAGATGCAAATTGAAGACCTTTCTTCTGAACTTGAGCCGTAGATCTTGAGCACTAACTTTTGCGATCTTCACAATCACAAGCATTAACACAAAGAGTCAAAACCCAATAAAAAAAAAAGAGCAATAAACATGAAAACAACTGATGTGTATAGTAAAGGAAGCTTTTCAGTACCCAATCAAGTAGACTGAAAAGGCCGATTCTGGGTAGATGAATGAACTTGGTTTCAACCAGTGTTTTAAGGCCGGGTAGCTGAGCATCGCGGCTCACCTCAAAAACCCTACAGCACCAGATTTGCTGATGAATTGTTGGCTTACCTCATAAATTAAAACAAACGTATTATTTTATTCGATTAATAGTATCCAACGGCAGTGATGAAAAGCATTATATATTAAAATCCCTTATGATTTTTCTTTGATACTTATTAATAAGTATCACTATAAGCAGATGGGATCAAAAAGGCCCATTACTGGAAAAAATTTTGAAGGTGTCTCGGGTCAACTTTATAATCCATGTCTTTCTTTTTGCACGCGTCAATTTACTAATCAACGGTGTCATAAATAATTGAAAAAAATTGATTATACTGCTAACAGTGAAAAATAATTTAATATCATTATCTAGTCACAAATCACCATTATGATAAATTTCTAAACAACTAACTTAAAAGTTATACTATAATAATTCTTAATTGGTTAATAATGTAATATATTTTATGTGATGATGCATATCCATCGATAATAAATCATTTTGACTTGGAAAAATGGTTGGCAAAAACTCACTCAACAAATTTGAAAACAACTCTTTTTTATTTGAAAAAATAAACAATATAAGGGAGTGGGATATATAGAGATTGACTGAGACAACTTTTTTTTTTTTCATTATTTTATAATACTATTTTGGCCTCAAGTTGTTTATATAATAGATATTATTGGAAGCACAGTTCTTGATTTTTTATTTTTGTATTGTGTGATATGGGAAAAAACATGAGAACGAAAAAAGCAACAAATAAAAAGAAAGAAGAATTAAAATAAGTACAAGTTTTTGTGGATTAAAAAAATAACATGAATAAAAATAAAATATTTTATTTGTAATAATAAATTTATTAATTTTAATATTATTTTTCAATTATTTATTATTTTTATAAAAAAATAACCCAATTGATTATTTTCTGTATAAATAAATATTTTAATATTTTGATAATATTATTAACTATGTAACATCATCAACGTTCACAGAGCACGCTGGTGAACCAGAATTTGTTGACAAATATTACAAAGACACTTTATAAAATAGATTTGACATATTGATAAAATCAAGTCAATACACGTGAACATTCTAAATATTGCATAAAGAAAAGAAACGAAAAGTGTAAATATTATTGCATTCTATAATCTATATAAAACACAATTCAGATTATGTGTTTCCTTCCAAAAAAGGTCCCAATATAGATATGGAAGAGACGTTAATTTTTTATTTTTTTTTTCAAAAACAATAGTAAAGAAATTTTGTTGAAATTTCATCTTGTATAAAGATGTAAATAAATTATGTACATATGAAACATAAATTGAATTACGTAGTATAATTTAATTATATTTGTCAAATAACAATTCAACAAATTTAAAATAAAATATTTAATATGGTTGAAAAATAATATTATTAAAATGTTGTTGTTGAAAGCAATAATGTGTTACGTAATTGTATTTTCAAAGGTGGATAAGCAATGTCGAGCAGACGTAGTACCCCATGCCTGGTGATATTTTATATATATACTAACATTTATGGTCTAAGATTTACTAATAATTTTTTGTTGCATTACTTATCCCAACTAAGTCAACTATTAGAATTCAATCTTATAATAAAAACAATTTTCAAATAATTAATATTACATTAAAGTTAAGACTTTAAGTGATACACTAATACCCAAATAAAATGATCACATCAGAGTTTGTGGTCTCATTTTTAAATACTATTTGAGTTATATATTTGGTTGACATCTCTTGATTTTTTTTTTTTTAATAACCATCCAAATTGTTAGAAAAGTAGTTTTAAATCAAGAGGGGGTGAATTGATTTTTGAAAGTTTTTCGCAATACACAGATTATCTAATCCGAAAATTAAGATTACTTATCAATTCACAAATCACAAAGCAATCAAACAATACAAGCACAGCAACTGAAATTAAAGAGAGAAAGGTTAGGAAAGATTTCACCGGTAATTTTATACTCGGTTCACCCAATACCAGGGCTATGTCCAGTCTCCACCAAATTCCAACTTGGTTCCACTAGAATAGATGTTTTACGGACTCACACTCTTACACCTATTCTAACTCTCCACCAAGAACCAAATTCCAGCTCTTGGAAACCTCTCGCAACCAAATTCCAGCTACAGAGAAACCAAGTGCCCAAATTCCAGGCACCACACAAGTACAAGAACCAAATTCCAGCTTCACGCACTTAACCTCTCCCACCAAGAACCAAATTCCAGCTCTTGATAACCTCTACAACCAAATTCCAGTTGCAGAGAAACCAAGTGCCCAAATTCCAGGCACCAAACAAGACAAGAACCAAATTCCAGCTTCCGCACTTAACCACCAAGAACCAAATTCCAGTTCTTGGAAACTTCTACAACCACCTACCAAATTAGAAAAAAACTTGTACCCAAATTCCAGGTACAACACAATACAAAGTAATGAAAAAGAATTTACAAAGAAGAGACTTAGAAAGCTCAAACCGGATTACACCAATCCACGATAAGTTTCTTCTTCAAGGATGCAAAGTGCCTCAAGAAAGATTTCAAAAGAAGTTCACAAAAACAGCTTGTGTATCTTTCTTGAAAAATGCTAATAGTTGTTTGTATTGATTGCTTGAATTGTGTAAAACCGATATTCAATCTCTTGTTTCAAAGTTTCAAGCAAAACTGTTTTTAAAGAGAATTTTCAAATCTGCTGCATTAATTAATCTGTTGAAAGTTTGTTTTAATCTGTTGAAATAGCCGTTATAATCTGTTAAAAGTCCTTTCAACCCATTAATGCATTCTTGATCTTTAACGTAAAATGTTTTAGTTGATACGACCACGTTTTTATCAGTTAAAACGTTTTACAAACATTTTCTAAGTATAAAACAATCGATTGAATCGCGTATTAATCGATTGATATGTTTAAAAACCTTCTTATAAAACTTTCTAAGTTATTTTAGTCGATATAAAGTCGTTTTAATCGATTGAAAATCTGCACATATATTTTCAAGTCATTTTAATCGATTGAAAGTTCGTTTTAATCGATCGAAAAGATTTTCTAAGTTATTTTAATCGATTGAAATACGTTTTAATCGATTGAAACAGATCTGATCGGTCATAATTCAATTTGATCGATCATATCCAACTCTGATCGGTCATAATCTCATTCTGATCGATCATCCTGACATCCAAAGTGATTTTAATCGATTGAAACGTGTTTTAATCGATTAAAATAATTTGATCGCTCATATTTAAGATCTGATCGATTATATTGCATTCTGACCTATTATATTCGAATTCTAATCGATCATAAAGAGTTTTAATCGATTAAAAGAAGTTTGTATCGATTAAAATATTGTAAAAACACTTTTTAAAACATTCTAAGTGTTTTAAATTGATTCTTTCAAACTCAGTATCGGTTAATAACTTGTTTAAGAAAATTCTTTGCCAAAATGCTTTTGTTTTTTATTTGTTAAAAACTGTTTTTGAGGCATTTTGCAAGATGAGTGAAGAAGCTTTATGCAGTGGAAAAGGTAAAGTGGTTTTACCTAAGCTTTACGTTAAGACACACTAAGTCTTCGACTCCATTCTTCCGAGTGACTTGTTTGATCATTGCAGAGTTGACCTTTGACTTTATCTTTGACTTCATCAAATCACTGAGATCTTTGCTAGGATCACTTTCACAAATAATTTCGTTAATTGAAGTTAAATTCAGGGTGTTATCACACACTGTATGGATGGAACATGAATTTCTTGGTTACATGGAATGTCATTTAAAAAGACCTCATTAAAGATGAGCCATTTCCTTACAACTAAATAATTAATTTTTTATATATTTAGAACTTTAATTTTAATTTTTTATAATTTTTATCTAAGGTTTAATGATAATGTTATTTTTCAATAAATAATGGATATAAATATCACCCTATAAACATAAGGGTTTAGGAAAACACAAAGAAGGAAGGTGAATGTCTATTTATTAAAATTAAAATAGAAGTGTGTCCATTCAAAACTAAAGGATTGAGTAAGTGCCATTTACTACGACTTTATGGGAGGTAGGTACAATTTCCTTTTAAGGGTAGGTTCGGTAATAAAATAAATAAATGAAATAAAGTGGGAGATATATTCATTCCTTCATAAAAAAATGGAATAAAAAATATAAAAATATTTATTTTTAAAAATAATAAATAAAATATTTATATGATTGTAAAATTATTTATATAATTATTAATTATTTTTTATGCATAAAATTATTTTTAAAATTTAGATTTTTTTTAATATCATATATTTTGATATATAATAATAAAATATTTTTATTATAAAAGCGTTAGTTAGTATTATGAATGTGAGAAGAATTGTAAGTATGTATAGGTGGGATTTACAGTAAATTCTTAAAATTCAAATGGGAGAAGAAAATGTTAAAAAGTTAATCAGGGACGCTACGAAGTTTCCAAAAATTTCATTTTTCTAATAAAATTATATATATATATATATATATATATATATATATATATATTAAAGTATTATTTTATTTTACTTAATTTCTCTTGTAATTTATATATATTATTTCTGTATTTTTCCATTTCTCAAATAATCTTCTCGATCTAAATACAAGTTAAAAGAATTTTTAGTCTGAACTTGTACATAAATTTCCTTAAAAAAACCTTTTGCATAAGTTAATTTTATTTTATAAGAGTAACTTATTTTATTTATTATTATTTTATAAAAATATTCATTAAAAAATTTGTTGGAACATACTTTAAATTAAAATCTAAATCAAACGAGCAATATATATATATATATATATATATATATATATATATATATATATATATATATATAAGGTTCTTGAGAATTTACTTTACTATATTTTTAATAGTAGGGATTTTTTTTTTATAAATTAACCATGAAGAATAATCATAAATTATTGTATATAATAAATTTGTTGACTTTTTATAATAAACAAAGAAGAAACATATATAAAACTAAAAACATTATTGTGAATTTGATTACAAACCTTACTTTAC